TTAAAGATAACAAATAATCACAAAACCCCCAAATGCCAATATCCCAAACCCCTCCATTTCTAGGACTCAAGTCCGACTATATGAAAATAACCGGTTTCCCTGAATCCCTTCACTTAATTTTGTCTAAGACAGAACTAACACCCAACACTGGCTTATTTTGTCTTGCAAGTGTGAGATCGTTGCACACTGAGTTTTTATTTGTTGATAACAGAAACATCTCAGAGTTACTTTCATATTCCATCAAATTATTCTTATTTTTACCATCTAATGTAGTATTACTGCTTGCTCCATGAACTAGAATGTTTTTTACTTTATTCAGATCTTGATACTTATTACTGGACTTACAAGAATGTACCTGTTTCTTAGAGCCATTTTTTTCTCTAGTATTAAATTTTGCTGCACCAAGCTGTGGAACTGAAGACAACTGTATCCAATCTTCATATCCAGTGGTTTCTCCTGCCGCGCTAATAACTTCAAATCCATCTGCAATACAAAAAAATTGCTTAATTTTGAAATTTCATTTCATATTCAGGAAAAGGTAAGACATGGTCATTGAATACTTTTTGCACCTGACAGCCAAATGTACATGGTGTAAGAGAGAACTTGATGAAGCAGATGGCAACACATCTCAATGAAGATGAATAAACCATTTCAATGAAGATGAATAAACCATCAGTTTAAACCAAGAGACTTATAGAACAAAACAACCCGTGGGTAAATCAGCTTAACACTGAAACATCTTCATTTACAGAATGTAAATTACAGTAATATTACTATAATTAGAAGAAGCTTACATATGCTATATGCACAAAATTTTAGCCACAATTAATAGGGTAATTAACACAAAAGTCTGTGTAAAATAACCCCATTAAGTAGAAATTAATAAATAAATGAATATTATGGCATGCATCTGAAGCCTACTTTAGTAAAGTAATAAAAAAAAATAACTAGTGGAACATTACCATTTTCTTTTAAGTTGTGTTTGTCATTATTGGTGCTACACTTTTTCTCTGGCACCTGCAGAGGTGCCATAGCAGCTGTAACACATTCAATTGTTTTCTTGAGAATTTTTCTTTCTTCTTCAACTTTCTTCTGTGGATAATTTAAGATTGACAATGCATATTATTAATGCACACTAAAAAACAGCAATGTACATATTACTGTATGTAGAACAAAATTTATTTGCTAGATACCAAAATAATTTTCTTTATTTTTTTTATTGTATACACAAGCTCGAGTTGATACTTTATAAAAATAAATATAGGTGTCTAGAATTTGCACAAGTTGTTTGCTGTAAGAATGCTAATTTTTTTGCATATTCATAAAAAGAAACTCATTTTAAAAGTTATTTACTCCATCCTGCCCTTCAACCTCAACCATGATCTAGCACTACTCACTCATCCTGTCTTTCAACCTCAACCATGATCTAGATTTACACTCACTCGCCCTGCCCTTCAACCTCAACTATGATCTAGCTCTACACTCACTGTCTTTCAACCTCATTGAAAGCAAGAGCATTTTCTTACATAGCACCTAGATTGTTTAAGGTTGCCAGTGTCTGTTAAGTCAGAAATATATTTTTTTTTTTCAACAAGTCGGCCGTCTTCCACCGAGGCAGGGTGACCCAAAAAAGAAAATCCCCAAAAAGAAAATACTTTCATCATTCAACACTTTCACCACACTCACACATTATCACTGTTTTTGCAGAGGTGCAGAGAATACAACAGTTTAGAAGTATATACATATAAAGATACACAACATATCCCTCCAAACTGCCAATATCCCAAACCACTCCATTTCCAAGACTTAAGTCTGACTATATGAAAATAACCGGTTTCCCTGAATCCCTTCACTTAATTTTGTCTAAGACAGAACTAACACCCAACACTGGCTTATTTTGTCTTGCAAGTGTGAGATCGTTGCACACTGAGTTTTTATTTGTTGATAACAGAAACATCTCAGAGTTACTTTCATATTCCATCAAATTATTCTTATTTTTACCATCTAATGTAGTATTACTGCTTGCTCCATGAACTAGAATGTTTTTTACTTTATTCAGATCTTCATACTTATTACTGGACTTACAAGAATGTACCTGTTTCTTAGAGCCATTTTTTTCTCTAGTATTAAATTTTGCTGCACCAAGCTGTGGAACTGAAGACAACTGTATCCAATCTTCATATCCAGTGGTTTCTCCTGCCGCGCTAATAACTTCAAATCCATCTGCAATACAAAAAATTGCTTAATTTTGAAATTTCATTTCATATTCAGGAAAAGGTAAGACATGGTCATTGAATACTTTTTGCACCTGACAGCCAAATGTACATGGTGTAAGAGAGAACTTGATGAAGCAGATGGCAACACATCTCAATGAAGATGAATAAACCATCTCAATGAAGATGAATAAACCATCAGTTTAAACCAAGAGACTTATAGAACAAAACAACCCGTGGGTAAATCAGCTTAACACTGAAACAACTTCATTTACAGAATGTAAATTACAGTAATATTACTATAATTAGAGGAAGCTTACATATGCTATATGCACAAAATTTTAGCCACAATTAATAGGGTAATTAACACAAAAGTCTGTGTAAAATAACCCCATTAACTAGAAATTAATAAATAAATGAATATTATGGCATGCATCTGAAGCCCACTTTAGTAAGTAATAAAAAAAAATAACTAGTGGAACATTACCATTTTCTTTTAAGTTGTGTTTGTCATTATTGGTGCTACACTTTTTCTCTGGCCCCTGCCAGAGGTGCCATAGCAGCTGTAACACATTCAATTTTTTTTCTTGAGAATTTTTCTTTCTTCTTCAACTTTCTTCTGTGGATAATTTAAGATTGACAATGAATATTATTAATGCACACTAAAAAACAGCAATGTACATATTACTGTATGTAGAACAAAATTTATTTGCTAAATAGATACCAAAATAATTTTTTTTATTTTTTTTATTGTATACACAAGTTCGAGTTGATGCTTTATAAAAATAAATATAGGTGTCTAGAATTTGCACAAGTTGTTTGCTGTAAGAATGCTAATTTTTTTGCATATTCATAAAAAGAAACTCATTTAAAAAGTTATTTACTCCATCCTGCCCTTCAACCTCAACCATGATCTAGCACTACTCACTCATCCTGTCTTTCAACCTCAACCATGATCTAGATTTTCACTCACTCGCCCTGCCCTTCAACCTCAAAATATGATCTAGCTCTACACTCACTGTCTTTCAACCTCATTGAAAGCAAGGCATTTTTCTTACATAGCACTTTGATTGTTTAAGGTTGCCAGTGTCTTTTTAAGTCAGAAATATATATTTTTTTTTCAACAAGTCGGCCGTCTTCCACCGAGGCAGGGTGACCCAAAAAAGAAAGAAAATCCCCAAAAAGAAAATACTTTCATCATCATTCAACACTTTCACCACACTCACACATTATCACTGTTTTTGCAGAGGTGCTCAGAATACAACAGTTTAGAAGCATATACATATGAAGATACACAACATATCCCTCCAAACTGCCAATATCCCAAACCCCTCCATTTCCAGACTCAAGTCCGACTATATGAAAATACCGGTTCCCTGAATCCCTTCACTAATATATTTATATATTTTTATATTTATGCTTTTCAATCTCATTTTGAAAGCAAAATCTCTTGTCCAGAGCTACCATTTTTTAATTTCTAGAGCTACCATTTTTGAATTTCATGAAAGAACAGAAGCTCAAGAATAACAATCTCTAAATTTTTAAATTTTTTGTTTTTTTCGATGAACTGGCATCTCCCCTGAGCAAGGTGACCTAAAAAAACAAAAGTTTTTCTTTTTACATTGATAATTTGTACAGGAAAAGGGGGTTAAAAGCCCATTCTCCCAATCAGTAATAACAATGATTATATTATTATTTTTAGCACACCGAGGTAGGGTGGGAAGTGGTGAGCTTATTTTGGGGCAATAAATTAATACACCATGAGCTGACCTCTACAACTGTAAGTGCTAACAAGTTATCACCAAGGCAGGGTAAACCAGAGGAGGAAACATTCTTCAACAACATTCAATTTTTCAGCTAACAGAAATGTATATAAATAACTCACCTTTTTTTTAAATGCATGACACAATTTAGCACTCCTGATGACTTCATATGGCTCTCTAAATCCAAGGCAAAATGGGTAAAAAGTAAAGTTGTCTATAGTCAGGCCAGTCACATTTTCCTTGTCACTGAAAAACAAGATTTTAAACAAGTACTCAGGGTAAAATTATTACATTAAAGTTATCAATTTAACTTGTGCTTTCTGGAGAGAAGAGTGTCACACTTTAATATGTTATTTGTAGCATGAAGGATGCCTGTGACCAGTTTCAGGAATTTTACTCCTACATTCTAGCCTGTAGCCAAACTTCCCTTGGAGACGCCTGATCAATGAGGCTACCCTAATACCTGTTCATGTAAGTGACAATCAGGTTCATGAGCAGATCTCTCTGAGACAGAGGAGAGGCAGACAGAAAGAGACAGACATGCTTGTGTATGGAACAGTGGGAGCAAATAGAAAACATATGCCAAGGATCACTGGAAGCAGAGCACCATCAGCAATGCTGAGTGACACTGACACCATGCTTCAATGAGTTTCATATAGTCCAGTACTTCTAAAAAACACTCTCTGGACCTATAAATAATTGTATATATTTCTAGACAAATCTATTCGATTTGTCTAGAAATACATACAAATTATTTATAGGTCCAGCAAATGACAAATGAATAGATTTGTCAGTTAAAAAAAGAGTAGGGAGTTAGAAGACGGGAGTTGGAGGTATTGAGAAAGATGGTGGGAATATTTTGAGGAACTTTTAAATGTTCATGAAGAGAGGGAGGCAATAATTTTATGCACCAGCCAGGGAGGTATAACATCTTTTTGGAGTGAAAAAAGAGCCGGATGCGAGGGGTGGGGGAGGCAAGAGGGATTACGTATAATGGAAAGGGGTAAAGCAGCTGGAACTGATGGAATCATGACAGAAATGTTAAAAGCAGGGGAGATATAGTGTTGTAGTGGTTGGTATTTTTGACGTGCTGTTGGAGTATGAGCAAAGTAACATTTATGAAGGATTCAGGGAAACCGGCAGGCCGGACTTGAGTCCTGGAGATGGAAGTACAGTGCCTGCACGCATCTGAAGGAGGGGTGTTAATGTTGCAGTTTAAAAACTGTAGTGTAAAGCACCCTTCTGGCAAGACAGTGATGGAGTGAATGATGGTGAAAGTTTTTCTTTTTTTGGGCCACCTGCCTTTGGGGTGGGAATGGGCCAGTGTGTTAAAAATTTAAAAAAATAAATGTATGAAAGGGGGAAAAGGGGTACCTAGGGATTGGAAGCGTGTGTGTACAGTTCCTTTATATAAAGGAAAGGGGGCCCAAACGAGATTGTAAAGATTAACAGTGGACCCCGCTTTACCTTTTGGCATCACATAACATTAATCTGCATACCTCTTGCTTTAATCGCAAAATTTTGCCTCGCATACCGCTTAAAAACCCCTCACCCGCCGTTCATCCGAGACGCGCCCAAAAGTGCGCCCTCAGCCAGCCTCACATGTGCCGCCCATGCCATTGTTTACCAGCCAGCCTCCGCGGTAACATCCAAGCAAAAATCGGAACATTTCGTATTATTACATTGTTTCGGTGCTTTATCTGGAAAATAAGTGACCATGGGCCCCAAAGAAAGCTTCTAGTGCCAACCTACAGCAATAAGGGTGAGAATTCCAATAGAGATGAAAAAAGAGATCATTGAAAAGTAGAAAGTGGAGTGCGTATCGCCGACCGGGCCAGGTTGTACAAAAACCCCAATCAACCATCGCTACTATTTTTGGGCACCAGAAAGGCAATCAAGGAAGCTGTTCTTGCCAAAGGTTTAACTGTGTTTCGAAACAAAGATCGCAAGTGATGGAAGATGTTGAGAGACTCTTATTAGTGGATAAATGAAAAACAGCTAGCAGGAGATAGCGTCTCTCAAGCGATCATAAGCGAAAAGCTAGGAAGTTGCATGAGGATTTAATTAAAAATGCCTGCAACTAGTGCTGATGTGAGTGAATTTAAGGCCAGCAAAGGTTGGTTTGAGAAAATTTAAGAAGCGTATTTGCATACATAGTGTGATAAGGCATGGTGAGGCCCTGCCAGTTGGGGACCACAAAGCAGCTGAAAAATATGTGCAGGAATTCAAGAAGTAAATAGACATGAAGGATTGAAACCTGAACAAGTGTTTAATTGTGATGAAACAGGCCTGTTTTGGAAGAAAATGCCAAGCAGGACAATTACTCAGGAGGAAAAGGCACTCCCAGGACATAAGCCTATGAAAGACAGGGGTTACTTTGTTGATGTTTCCAATGCTACTGGTGATTGCAAAATGAAGCCTTTATTAGTGTATCACTCTGAAAAATCCCAGATCGTTCAGGCAAGAGAATGTCCTCAAGGAAATTTGTGTGTGCTGTGGAGGGCAAACAGTAAGGCATGGGTCACTAGGGACTTTTTCTATGACTGGTTACACCATGCATTTGCCCCCAATGTGAAAGATTACCTAACTGAAAAGAAATTAGAACTTAAGTGCCTCCTGGTGTTAGACAATGCCCCTGGTCATCCTACAACGTGGCAGAGCGACTTTATGGGGGCATGAAATTTATTAAGGTGAAGTGTTTGCCTCCTAATACCACTCCTCTCCTGCAGCCCCTGGACCACAGGTTATTGCAAACTTCAAAAAACTGTACACAAAAGCTCTGTTTGAAAGGTGCTTTTTAGTGACCTCAGAAACTCAACTGACAAGAGAGTTTTGGAGGGGAGCACTTTAATATCCTCAATTGTGTAAACCTTATAGGTAAGGCTTGGGAGGGAGTGACTAAAAAACCTTGAACTCTGCTTGGAAGAAACTGTGGCCAGAATGTGTAACAAAAGGGATTTTGGGAAGGGTTTGAGGCTAACCCTGAGAGGAATTTTGCCAGTTAGGAATCCATTTTGGCAAATTGGGAAAGTCCCTTGGGGTTGGAGGTTAGTGGGGAGGATGTGGAAGAAGTTGGTGGAGGAGGACAATGAAGAACTAACCACTGATGAGCTGATAGATCAAATTCAAGAGCAAGAGGCCAGACCTGAGGAAAACTGGTTCAGAGGAGGGGAGAGAGAAATTGAAGAAGTTTTCCTACTACAAAGATTAAGGAAATCTGTGCAAAGTGGCTTTAAGTGCAAACCTTCATGGATGAAAATCACCCTCACACAGCTATTGCAAGCCGTGTTGGCAACCTGTACACTGACAATGTTGTGAAACACTTTAGGGAAGTCATAAAGGAACGAGAGGTACAGGCCACTATGGACAGATATGTTGTTTCGAAAGAAGTCCAGTGACTCTGAAGCTGGTCCTAGTGGCATTAAAAGAAGAAGGGAAGTAAACCCCAGAAAAGGACTCGACACCTCAAGTCTTAATGGAAGGGGATTCCCTTCTAAACACTAACACACTCTCTCCCCTCCTCCCATCCCATCAATCATCACCAGATCTTCAATAAAAGTAAGTGTCATGTAATTGTGCATGCCTTTTTCAGTTTGTGTGTATTAAAATTAACATTTCATGTTGTAAAAAATTTTTTTTTCATACTTTTGGGTGTCTTGCACGGATTAATTTGATTTCCATTATTTCTTATGGGGAAAATTCATTCGCATACCGATTATTTCGCATACCAATGAGCCCTCTTGCACGGATTAAAATCGGTATGCGGGGGTCCACTGTACTTGATTATTATATTCGTACTAACTGTGCCAGAACAAAGATTGGCTATAAAATCACATTTCTGCA